GGGGGGGGGGTGCAAGGGCAGTGAGCAGCTAGAGACAACACAAAGAGGCACTGCAGAGTTCAGATAAAATCACTCAGTTCAAATAGTTCCCTCTGGAGAGATCTGTGCACAGTCAGGGGGTGCAGAGGACGACCAGAGACAAATCCAGAGTCCTGAAATGATGACAGAATGTTTATTCAGCCGGGCTCCTCTGAAAAGTCCATGGAAATTCCTCAGAAGGAGGGGAGGGAGGGGGTAGAGACATCAAGTTTATAAAACTTCCAGGTGGGTTAAGATAAGATGGCCTGTCAAGGACAGTCAAGGAGCCGAATTCAGATAAACACGATTTGGGGACAGGCAGAACTTTAACAACATCTACCTTGAGTCTGTGTTGGTCCACTCAGTTCTGAAACATCCAAATTAAATGACCACACCAATGGAACATGCCTGAGAATAATTCCCAAGATCTGATCTATTCTGCTAAAAGTCTGGGTGCTCCAGGCACGAACCAAGCCATCCTATACTGCAGGCAGCCTGACCAGGTCCAAATTTTCTGCAGACAACTTCCTTGTTTGTTGATAGACCAGGAACCAGCTGAATCCAAAAAGCAGGAACCAGTTATCATAAATCCAATTACAAATGTGTCCTTAAAATCCACAGATGACAACAGAGATAGACATGTCATCAAGTCTTCAAAGTCGATGAGATATTCAGCTGCATGCGTCTTCTCTTCAAAGAAATGTTATCAATTGTGTTGAGGGACCAACTGACCAAATCCAAGTCCATAGTTATGATTCAGAAGATTTGTAGAAGAGCGACTCTAAAGCAGTTTCACAGACAGGACAGAGCAAAAGCAAAGCGGAGAGGGAGAGGAGGAGATGTCCGCTCTTGAGAAGAGCAAGTGTTGAATGCTTCTAGTAGAAATGTTGTGTCGCTCACCGACCAGTTTTGCTTCCCCGACATGCTAATATTATTAGCATTAGCCAGGAGGAAATGACATAGGCGCACATGCGCAGTCAGGTCAGTTTTTCACGATTGGAAAATAAATGAACAGATTAAGTGTTTACATGCACACCGTTCGGGTTAAGGATCGGCGTAAACCACCCGTTTTGTTCTGATTACAAATTATTTCGGATCGTGCTGAATGAACAAAACATAATCTGAATGGGGCGTTTGCATGACGCATTTTTATTCTGAATGGCCGTTGAACCCGATTACTTATGTCCATGTAAACATACAAACATCTCCACCTGCAGAGAAATCTGAGATTTCTTAAGTAAGGAACAAGATTTCAACTCTGGTTTATAAATCATTAATCAGAATCAGAATGCCTTTATTGTCATTATACGCAGTACAATGAAATTAAGAGCCACTCTTTTTTTCAGTGCAAAAACACGCCTTAAGAAAACACACACTAAACACTAAACACACACTAAAAATATTAAAAATGTAACGCAATATAGATATAATAACTGTAGTGAACTAAGCCTAAGGTCAGGATTTGACCTTAAGGACCTTATGGGACAGAACTTGTTATTTCATTGATTTGCATCCAGAAATACAGGTTGACCCATCCTGAGACTTTCTTTCTTGAATCAATCAAGTAAAAGAAGACTATTCTCTATTATCATTACTATTTTACAAATGTTTGATAATCAAATTGTGTTAGTTCAAACAATGTTTGAATGTTGAAGTGAACTACTCATTTTTATTAATTGTGAAACAGTAATAATGATTCTTAATCCTCATTCAAAGTGAAATCAAGTTGGAATACGTTACAGAGTAATGATTCAGTTTCTTGATTTTCTGTCTTCAATGAGCGAAGGATGTAAGTTGTTCAAAGTTCAAGTTTCGGTCAACTGCAAGTTTACTGAAAAGAAATGTCATGTTTACCTTTTACAGCAAAATACTGGAGAATTGACTCCACGAAGTCTGAACTCTCTCATGATATCTTTTGTCTGTCCTTAAACAATCTTAATCTTTTCCTTGACTTTTCATAACACCTTACATCACAAAACACACCTCTGTTTTGGTCCATCGACCAATCAGAAACTCTCAAATGAACCGGAAGTGAGCTTTCTTTAAATGTTGGCACTTCCTAGTTCAAGTTAGTTT